GAAGCGGTGATGAGGAATAAAATTTCATGTGTGTAATGCATCCTTTCAAAGTACACAATAGAAAAAAATTAATTAATAAAAAATATAGGAAAAAAATGTCGACGAAAAGTCATAGAAAATCATGGAGAATGGCCAGCCAGGAAGAAAGATAAAGCGCTATTGCGTTTACAAAGAAAAAACAAAAAAAAAACACAAAAACAAAAACGTCACTCGAACCCAATCAATCAAAATCAATGGCGATTTGAAAACAAAATAACAAAACGGAATCTCTCGTGGACAAAGCACTAAAAAGGAACAAAAAAAGTGTAGGACAAAAAGAAGTAGAAAATATGGCCAGTGGCAAATTTTATGATTAGACAAAATGAGCTGAGGGCGCAAAAATACAAAGCAAAAAATGGTAGGTGGGTGTTTGGAATGGTAGTAGCGGTGGAGTATCAAATAAGAGTAGAAAAATAGAAAACTTTTCCGACAGACATACACACATTTGGTTCAATCCATTTCAAATACAGTAATAGTAGGAATTGACAATTTTGAATTTTGATGAATTTTGATTAGAAGTTTTTATATAACGAAGTTCCGCCAAAGTTATGCAACTTTCTAAATTCCAAAATTTCCAGGAATAAGGCATGTTTTTTTTTGAATATCTCGAAAACTGTTATAGCTATTGCTAATGGGAAAAATATATAAATGAAAAAAAATATATATATATGCTCTGCCGGAACAAAGTATTGGCACAGCAAATTTTTCACAATATGTGCATCAATTTTTATTCTAATATTTTTCGGCCAACTTTTTTTATTTGTTCATTCAACAACAAAAAACATAAAAATAAAATTCCTAAACTTTGTGAAAAACTCGAGAAAATTCAACAAATTTTCAAATTCTGCATACTCGAAAAAATTCTAAAAAATCTTAATTAAAAAGTTGAAAATTTTGCTGAATTTTCGCGAGTTTTGCACAAAGTTTAGGAATTATATTTTTATGTTTTTTGTTGTAGAATGAACTATATTTTTATACGAAATTAGCGGAAAAATATAAGAACGAAAATTGTTGCATATTTTTTGAAAAATTTGCTGTGCCAATACTTTGTTCCGGCAGTGTATGTATATATTTTTTTTACAGAATTTTGAAATTAAAAAAATAGTAAAAGCAAAAACTTATAGGAATTTTTGGTTCAATTGCTTCTACAATAGAGAATACCTTCAATTGGTCTTAAAAGATGCTCAATTTTCAAAAGTTTTTTTTGTATAGATATCTATTAATTTTTTAAATTTAAAGCAAAAAATTATGTCTTTAAAAAACGCCTTGAAAACTTCACAATCCTTTAAATTTAGTTGCAGGGGTTGTACACATATAAAAAAATGTACCCAAAAATTTATAACAATTTTTGCTTGTACGATTTTTTTAAATTTCGAAATTCTGAAATTTTTGTATTTTTTGCAGACAATGGTCAAGTCTGTTAATAATCTGCGGGTTTCAACCAACCAAATAACGTTCCACTACAGCATACTGCGTGATAGGGCATAGAGTCAACAGGTGCCCTCCGTAAGGTGGTGTTCTCTCTCCTCTGCTCTGGATTGCTGTTGCAAACTACCTTCTAGAGGAACTGGAAAAAGGGAGCTGGCAGAATGCAGATGATGTGGCTGACTTCTAATCCCTTTTTTATCTAGCTCAAGGCTACCTGAATTAAGTAACCAAGTGGGCAGCCAACTGGATGGAACTGGCCTTGTTTACCAGGAACTACAAGTAGGAAGCTGTCGTGGAAGCTTAACATTGTAGGAAAGGGCGTCGGTTGCCTTGTACTGCTCTTGGAGAGGGAAAGTAATCCATTGGCTCTATAAAACCATCTTGTTTGCGGCGCTTTTGTCTGGTGGATCGCCCTAATCGTCATTAGTGGGGCATTAAGAGCCACAGCTACACTGGCGCTTAACGTCATGTTGAACCTTGGGCCTGCTGATATTGGAAGAATTGTTGCAGCATGATATGCTATTGGGCTCAGGGACACGGGGTGGTTAACTGGCTCGAAATTCGGAGACTCTGGAGTTCTTTAAGGCTTTGACGGATAGATTACTGCGCCACAAAATGTCTCCCAGCATCTCCGTCTCTGCCTAGGTTCCTTCAAGAGAGGATTGGGTAGGGCGGGGGTCCTGGAAGAAGGGAGCGGGGTAAACTTCTTAACGGATGGCGAAAAACTTGAAGGCAGGGCTGGTGGAGCTGTCTTCGGTAGGGAAATTTTCTGAAAATTATGTTCAGGCTTACGGACTTCTGCAGCGCCTTTTATTTAGGTGGAAACACTAACTGCTAAAGAGTCTGACGTCAGTTAGGGAGGTTAGCACACACTCGGACGGTCAGGCGGCCATTAGAGCCCTGCACGCTATGATGGTGTGCTCAAAATCGGTAAGGGAATGTCTGACCTCGATATCGCTCGCGTCGCAGTACTTCGTAGTAACCGTAGTTTGGGTGCCGGGTCACAGTGACATCATGGGAAACTGTGTGGGTCGCGTTTTTCATGGTATCACAAAGAACATTCTCTTAATTGTCCTAGTGAGCACCTTGCCTTCGGGCAACCACTTTGACCTAACCTAACCCATATATAACCCTAAATTTTATCTTTAAAACGATATTTTTTTAAGAATTAACTTGCAAAATGTAGGAAATTGTAAAATTTTGAACTTTCGAAAAATGTTTTTTTTCCCTTTGGCAGAACTTCGTTATATGATAAAAGAAAAGTTCTAAGCAAATCTCATCCAAATAAAAAATGATAGATTGTAACAACTGGTCGATTTTCCATGTATTGACCCATATGTACATAGCCAGTATAGGCAGAGCGATTGTTAAGTCAGGACGAAAATATGGGCCAATTTATGTACATACATATGTACGTAGGGAGATAATGGGTAAATCTTTAAAATCGTATGCATTGGTATACATACATACATATGTACGTACATACTCAATTACATAGTTGTGGTAGCGATGAATTGGGATGGTACTATGGCAATATGGGAATTGGTCGAAAGCTCGCTGCATAGGGACAATGATGATGGTGATGTTTGCACTATGGTGGCTATTTTTTTATACTACTGCGCAGATACACATGTGTCGTAACCGGCTAGGGGCAGGGACGCAGAAAGTGAATATCTGCTAAAATTTGTCTATGGTCACGAAAGATGAGGCGCACTCTATCATCAGGCAAGCATACATACTAGGGCGGTCAAAAAAAAAGTTAAGTCGGAATTTTAATGCACTCACCCCCTAGAATTATTCTATATCGAAAAAATATTTCCTTGTTTTTTATTTTTTTATATTAAAGAATTTTAATTTCAAAGACTTTTTAGTGGTCCCCCATTGCATTTTCTGAGGTTTTTTGGACCTATAAATTCGAGTTACTATGAAAAAGTGGGTAAATAAACAATTAGGTAATATTACTGGAAATGTTCTGAAGGCAAACAAAGTTTTCCGATCGAAAAATATTAATTTTTAAGAATTATCTACCGATTCTTTGAAAGTTCTTTTTTTTTTCTTATATAACCCTGCAAAAAGTTGGACTAGGTTAAATACTAGTACAGGCACACGCTACATTGTAACCAACACTAGTAACGAAATTGGTCCCAACATATAGAGAAAATATGGTTACATTAACATTGCGGTGTCATTGGACCTGACTCTCTGACCTCTGGTCCAACGCTGCATAACATGGGACCACCTAGACAACTACCCCTATTGGACCATGGACTGCATATCATACGATTTTGTATATACCGAATATTTGAAAATCGCCGTTCCCATAGGCTATGAAGAGGTGGTGGTCCTTTTACACATACTACATTAAAAACTACGTCCCAGCAGACCACCTGGTCCTAAAACTTTTGCAGGAAAAATACAAGGAAAACTTTGACCACTAAATATGCAGTCGATTTTTTGATTTCAAAATAAAAAAAATAGGGTTTTTTTTTCGATATAGAACAATACTAGGTGAGAGCATACAAATTCCGACTTTACTTTTTCACGTGCATTTTTGGACCATCCAAATGCACACACACCCACATCCCTATAATCAGTTTGCACCCGCACAGAAACATACATACATACTATGTACATTAGAGTGGTCCAAAAAATTAAAGTCGGATTTTTAATGCCGCCACCCGCTATGATTGTTCTATACCGTAAAATATATGTACCACTATTTTTTTATTTTATATGGGGAAAAAACCACTATTCGTAGAAATGGTACAGAATTCTTGAAAATTAATATTTTTCGATCGGAAAACTCTAGAGACTTCCAGTATGAATATCCAATTCATTTTTAACCTGTTTTTAAAACACTAAAGATTTTTTATTGGTCCGCTCATAGCATTTTTGGTGGTTTTCGCGAACCTATGAAATATAGTTAGCACGATGGTCAAAGAAAGAATTGGGTATTATTATTGGGAATCTTTTGAAGAGAAGCAGCGTTTTCCGATCAAAAAATAATGATTTTCAAGAGTTTTGTACCATTTCTAGGAAATTTTGTTTTTTTCCCCATATAAAATACATGGAAAACTTTGAGCGCTTTGAGCACTCCTTAAATAATATTTGATTCCAAAATAAAAAATAGGGTTCTATTTTTTTCGGTATACCTAGAACAATCCTAGGGGGTGCCGGCATTGAAATTCCGACTTTGCTTTTTCACATGCTTTTCTGAATCACCCTAATGTACAGGCATATATGTACTTCTTGCGCTCTATGTACATTCATACAAACAACCTTAAACTAAAGTTTGATTGCAATATCATTTGCACTGACATAGAAGAATTGCGTGTATCGGCCAGTAATTTATTTAGTTTTTTTTTTCACCAAAGGCACAGTGGGGTTTGGTTTGGATTTTTTTTTCGCAGCTGGTATACAGTTTAAAATGTGTGTTGGGGGTTTTTTGTTTGGTCTTTTTAAGGTTTCAAGGACTTGCAGTAAATGGTGTTGTTTTTATTTTCTCTTTGCGTTTGTTGCTGTTTTGTGTGTACCTTGACTCGTTCCAAATCGACTGCATTCATCATGGTGCCCTGAAAAAACGCCACTGTCGTATAGTGACGTTTCAGCAGACCTTCTAGCTCCAGATCAGGCTCCTTGCTATATACAGATTTGGTTTAGGATGTTCATATGTAGTTATTAATTGTGGGTTAAGATTCAGATTATTAAATAAAGTTATTAATGCTTGTTATTATCGGAAAAAAAACGAATATGTCGCTGAATCAAGAAATTTTAATGATATTTATTGTGTTTGCTTTTTAATTGTTTTAGTAATTGCAATTAGTGATAGTGCAGGTATTGAAATAAACAAATTTTTACTTAATATGCACATATACTTAATTTATTAATTTATTTGAATAGTGTAAACTGTTGCAAACATTCCCTTTATAAAAATTACATATTTTAAAAATTTACTAGTTTCAGAACAAAGTGCATCATTTACTATTCCCAACATTTTTATGCTTCTAGTATGTGGTCGTACTACACTGTAATAAAAATATTTTTTTTTACAAAATCAAATATCTCAAGAACGAGAACAGATAGCAAATAAAAATAATGCATATAACGATATTTTAAAGCCTTTGAGATAAAAAATGTTTGGAAAAGTAGTATCGTTCAAAAAAATAGTTTCCCGGACCTAAAATCCTTTAAAAAAATGTTGAAACGTTGTTGTTGTTCCAAAGCAGGGGATTTTCCGGTAAGTAATTACGTTCCTTATATGTTAAACGACGAGCTAAGTTAGAAAATCTCTCCAGTGGTCTTAAAAACTAGAAAATGGGTCCAATTTCGACAGTAACTCACCCTCCTAGTATTGCTTAAGGTGTATTTGGTTTTACCTTACTAATTTTACCTTTAAGGAGAGCTAGAAGTAAAACTTTCCGGAAAAATTTTGCGAAAAAATTATTCAATTCAAATATATGAAATTACAGACTTTAACAGTTTGTATTGTATATTTAGTTCACTCTTATTAATGCCATATCAACGAATTCGAAATATATGCACCTTACTTTGGGTTTAAAAGATTTTTTCAGCACTTAAACTTATAAAATTCGTTGTTTTTATTAAAGTTTCCGAAAATGTAAAAACAACCTTAGGTCAATAAATGCTTAACCTTAAAAAAAATATATAGCTCTTCATTTTAGCTACTTTTAGTATTATTTAGCTCTTTTTAGCTCTTTTTTCGACCGTTTTAACCCCAAACGAAATTTTCCTCTGGCAACACTGGTGAAATTCCACAACACTTCCTCAGCAAAGTAGTATTCTGTTCACGCTGTGAAAAAGCTTGCAACATGTTGGCAACATGAAGCCAGCAACACAATTATCATGACATTTTTAAATACACATGTACATTTTAAATTGTGTGAAAACTGACAGTTTATCGAATTCAGTAGCGGATTAAGTGGTTAAACCTTACCCAAACCGATCGTAAAACTTTATTTCACGAATGGCTAATTTTTATTAGTTTGACTAGCTGCTCGCATGCGACGCAATTTCAGCGTATGCCTTTAGATCTTAGCAGGAAGGTAATCCCTCAAGGTTTAGCTTAAAATGGTTCCAGGGATATACCCTGTGATCATGTAACTTTCTAGAAGGTGTCACGCCCGTTTTTCTGTGCATATTTCCATTGGAAAAATACCTCATCTCAGTATTCTAGGTAAATGCTTCCAGAGGTATGTATCTATGCGTCATCAGAATTTTAGTTTATATGGGTTACCCCTGGCTCTTTTCAATGGCTGCGATAACGTTTTCATATACCCCCATTTTTCATAGGTTTGGGATTTAATTCATATATCTCTATTCCAGCTAAGAAATATATAAAGTGGATATATTAAAACAGCCTCCAAAACATTTACTTAAGATGCCCCTGAACTACACAAATCAGTTTGATTGAAAATTTGTTTTTATTTATTTATTTTATACTTCACTTTTGGGTGTGTAAAAATTTCATGTGAAAATAATATGTGTTACTGGAAAAATTTCACGGCTACGAACTGACTTCTAACCTTTATATGTAAATATCTATATCAGTGAAAAAAGTGGTTCTATATTCTCAGTTGGCAAAACAACTTAAGGATAGATTTTTTCTAGACATCACCGGGAGTTGACGTTGCATCAATCGAAGCGCAAAGCCAGCTTGCTAACCGCTGAGCTAAACACACCCAGTAGACTCTTGTTGCTTATCCATCATGTACTATGAATTAAAAAATCTAGAAAAACAATGCTGATGCAGTAGGAATCTTCATAAGAATGCCAATCGAAAAATATAAATTTACTGATTACGAAAACTTCAAGAGAATCAGTATGTACCAAGCTTATAAATACATACATATAAAAAAAAAATGTTAAGAAGCAAAATGTTCGGAATATAAATAAATGCAGATAACGGTACTTTTTCAATAACCTGTTATAATGTTTGAAATATTAGCAACAGTTTGAATAAAGTAATTATATATAAAAAATTCATATACATACATATGCATATTCGCATAAGCTAAGAATAAATCATATATGCATGTAATCCTAGCAACGTTGGTCTATTGCACTATCAATTTCTGCATACAGTATATATGTATGCAAATTTCCTGAATGGCGTATAAGCACACAAAGCCATTTAAAAAAAAACAAACTTACATAAGTATAAACAAGTTACTTACATAGGTACATATATGCATGAAAATAACATACAAACATACATTTGTATGCTTAGCCACTTAAGAGTACATTGACAAAAGTTATGAAAAATTCAAAAACTTACCGATGTAAAAATACAACCTCCACATCCACATCCTCACGATCCTCGTGCAGGAAATCCTTTAAGAAATGCGACACCGACTCGTACGTTATATGTCCGCAAACGACAATATGTCTATGCATTATTGTTGGGGTGAATCAACGGCACCGCACCAATCAAAAAGTCAGCCAGTCACGCAAGCACCCACGCAGGAGAGGTGTGCGGTCGGAAAAGTCGCAATAGAGTCCCAGCCCGTGAAAGTTCAAAAGACGTAGGCCGCGCCAACAGCACAAGAGACAAAGTGTCATAATGCGGGTACGTATACCAGGATGATGATGATGACGCAGCATTTACATTTTGATCGTCGTGTTGGTGTGTGTATTTGTGACAAACGGTTTTACATATGCAATGCAATGCGTTGCAAATTCGTTTTTTATGTTTGAGTGATAAGAAGAAATGAAATATTCGATTAGAAAAATTGGTATTGGCAGGTGATTAGACGAGAAAAATTACAATACAATAACAAGTAGAACTGAATTTAGTTTATAGATATAATACGTTGTAATATATTGATAAGTATGTATATGTAGATATGTAAATGAATACAGATTCATATATATCGTCGTTAAAGTACAAAACCGCGTATCAGCAAAATGCAAAATCGCGTATGTGAGGTTGCATACATTTTTTTCTAGAGAGTAAAAACACTTATATTTCAAAATGGTTCTCTTTTTTATAAAGCAATCGCATTTCTGGCTAGTATATTTCAGGACGAATGGATTGTTGAATTGAGCCAAGAGCCCGAGTGAGCAAATCCAATTTTTGGCAGCCAATGTCAGTTAGGCGGTTTTGCAGAATGGCGATACGCGATTTTGTACTTTAAACGACGATATGTAAATGTGTTTGAATATGTTTTTTTTTTATGTATGAATGTGATTTGCTATATGTGTGTGTGTGTAAGTGTATTGTACTGTTGTTGTATTATAAATACCCAGGCAGAAAAGATCATATAATTATGTAATGCAGCCTAATGGGGTGGTAAAAAAAAAAAAAATCCATGTGAAAAAGCAAAGTCGGAATTTACATATACAAATTTTAAATCTTTTTTCACTTCTTCAAAAGCTATAAAAGAACCAAATTTAACATTTTTTCGTCCATAAAATATAGAATTGACCTGAGGTCCAGAAAGCTTTGACGGGTTTTGCTCTTTGAACATTCGAAATTAGTCCGTCCCTTAATTTGTGACACACTGTGCTATGAGATATACAAAAGTATTTACGTGTTCGACTTCCTGTTAGTTTGCAGCCACAAAATACCAGAAATTTGGGAACACGACTAAGAGCAGAGAGAGTCTTTAAAGTCATACATGATCAAATTTCCTACTGGGCACTTATATACATACATTTGTAAGTAATTGCTTATAATTTTTTTTTTCCATTTATGTATGTATATTTAGATATATATTTGTACGAGTATACATTTATATGTGTATACATATATATATATACATAGAGGTTAAAAGCTTAAGTTAATTTATGTAATTATTTAACAGGGTCAAAATACAGATATATGTACATAGTTAGATGTGTAAGTATTATGTATGTATATTATTTATGACATAAAATTTTGGCCTTAATAAAATATGTTTGTTGGTTTACAATGAAAATTATGAAACTGTTGTGTTTTTTGTGTGTTCTTATTTGATGTTAATTTATAGATATGTATGTATGTATATGTGCATGTACATGTTATGTGCTGGACGCAGCTCCAAATGTGTCAGTGTATGCTAATGCGCATTTCTAGCGAATACCCTTTTAAGCAGGCTTTATTACTAAAACTTGCATTTAATGCATCGAGTATAAATGTACATATGTATGTACATACATGTGTAAAAAAATAGAGCTAAACCTATGCCATATGCTTGTGGTTGTGTGTTGTTTGAGTTCGTTTTTCAAATTGTGTGTTTGAAGTTTTGTGTGCGCATATATTTTCTTAAAACATTTTTTTTTGTATGTATTTGTGTTTCTCTTAGTTAAAGTTTAGTAGTAAATTACATACATACATATGAAATATAATATTGCATGTATGTCTTTGCTGCATTTGGTACTAAATAAAAATTATAAAAAAAAAAACAAATTTTAGATTTAGAAGGGAAAACTCGAAATAATTAAGCATTTAAATCGTAATAATTAAAATTTTTAAATGCCGGATAAAAAAAAAATTGAATCATATACATACATATAATTAGTATACATATTATCAAGAAAACAGAAATTATATGATAATTCAAACTTATGTATGTAAAACTAAAAGAAATTTACAGCTAAATATTTAGTCTGCTACCCCGGAGTTAATATCAAATAAAATGTATACTACAGTTTGAACAAAAAAAAAAAGTTTGGAAGGGAAAGTTATTAAATACTCTTAAAATTATTAGTCAGGCAAATGGTGAACAACACTAAGGTGGTCAAAACTATTATAAATTCGTGTAATTTATTGGGCCAGTTTTTAAAAGTGCTTTGTTGCCTGAAACTAGTCATTAATTAAAATTTTTCATTAGTAAGTTGTGTCTCAATTCATTATTATTACAGTTAGTATTATATAATTACTCAGTTGGCTTTTGGCTATTTGAGCAACCTAGGGACGTTTCGAAATTATTAGTTTCGATCAATGAAAATTCTTCAAATCGTTTGATGGAAAAATGCTTGGCTTTGTTCCAATCTTGAAAACAAATTATTTTACATTTTACAATTAATAAAATTGAAAGGGCTACAAGGTTTTTTGTTTGTTACTTTTAGTTATTTATAAAAAAATAACAGCCACCATTTGTTTTTGTTGAAAATTCATATTTTTGAAAACGCTTACTGAAAAATGAAGATTGAGGGCTGAAAATCTTCCAGTTTGTTTTCTTCGTGAACGACAACGAAACTTTAATATAGGCAAAAAAAAATCGTAATTTTATTTGACACAGTTTAATTTGCGTCAATGTTAAGTTTAAATGGACGTTGGTGCGAGGAAACGGAAAAAATATATAGATCTACTACACTGAGGGAGAAAATTTTAAAATCAAATAGAAACGCGATTTATCTTACTATAAACGACAACGAAAGTACTGTATATTGGTAAATATTTAAAGTGGCTGCGTTCGATCTGAAAAATCATCCGTGAAGTGACTAATCAAAACAAAACTAAAAAAAAAAATATTTAAGTTGCATGTTGTCTGCAGTGAAATTCGAACCCTGATCATGTCTGGATATCAAAACAAATTGTGGCAAGCATCCTTCCGCACTCAGCTACAACCAGACGTATAAATTTTGTAGCCTATTAAATTCAAGTAGGTAAAATTGAAAATTTTTTAGACGCTGCAAATCGCCTTGATTTTTAGTAATTTTTTTGGCTAACGGTGTTGAGCATTTTCTGCCATTACAGTATGCCATTACTTTTATATGAAGGAAATCAGCGCAATTTTAAATTTACATAAAATTTATTAAATTTAATGGGCTATAAATCAGCTTACCTAAAATTTTAAAAATTTTGGTTGAATTTGTTAAAGTTTCTTGAATTTTTATAGTTTTTGCAAAAAGTTTGAAATGTGGATTTATCAGCTGACGACAAGTCATCTCATCTCATGTCATCGAAGATAAAATATCCTAGCGTTTTTGTATCTTTTTGTTAGTTTCAATCAAATTTAAGTTAATTATGCTTTTTTATTTTGTTTTATAATTTATTTGCAATTTTCTAAATTTAATTTTATTTTATTTCATTAAACTAGATTCGTTTTATTTTGCTTTCTTTTATTTGATTTTTGTTTAACTTAATGCTATTTATTTTATTTCATTTGGAAAATTATTTAATTTTATTTTATTATTATCATTAATAAAAATATATTAAATTTTTAACTTTATGCTATTTTATTTTATTCTATATTTTGCTTTATATTTTTAGTTTCCTTTTTTTTACATATTTTTTTTAATATATTAATCAGATTAATTCATTTCAATAGTTTAAATAAATTTTATTTCATTAAATGAAATTCGTTTTATTTTGCTGTCTTTTGATTGATTTTTAGTTAATTAAATGCGAGTTATTTTATTTGACTTTAAAACTATTTTTATTTTATTTTATTTTAATTTTATTATATTTTATTATATTATATTATATTATATTATATTATAGTATATTATATTTTATTTTATTTTATTTTGTTTTATTTTATTTTATTTTATTTTATTTTATTTTATTTTATTTTATTTTATTTTATTTTATTTTATTTTGTTTTATTTTATTTTATTTTATTTTATTTTATTTTATTTTATTTTATTTTATTTTATTTTATTTTATTTTATTTTATTTTATTTTATTTTTTTATTTTTTTTTTTTATTTTAGTTTAGTGTATTTTATTTTATTTGACTTTTGTTTGCTTAATTTTTTTACTTCCAATTTATTTTGTTTTATTTTATTAAATTAAAATAACTTATTCCATTAAACTAACTCTATTTTATTATTATTATTATTTATTGATGAAATATAAAATATTGCGCCAACATTACTAGCGCACTAGCTGCTGAGGCCAACGGTAGGGTAAATCTATTTTATTTGAGGCCATTTTATCTATTTTCTTATAAAATGTAATTAAATTAAATTATGTAGTTTGATTTTAGTTATTTAAGTAAAAATGTATAATTTTACTATTTTTTTTTAATTATATTTCATTACATAAATTAAAATTTCTCTATTTAATTAAATTTACATTTTATTATGATTTATTTATTTAGCGAGTTAAAAACTTTATTTTATTTTTATTTTTATATTATTTTTTTATTACGTTGCATTTTTTCATTTACCATTTGTTTTCGCAAAAACTCTAAATCACACGATATTTTGGTTGTTCACCATTTGCCTTTCTCTTTCAATAAGTATCTAATATAAATTTTCTTATACTTTATGGGCAACATGCAAACATTAAATAAATGCACATTTTTCATAAATACTAACTATTTCTCAGTGCTTTCGACAAATTAATACATATTTATCATTTCAAATATCTAATTATTGGCATACTTTAAGGCTAGGTGCACACACATCAATCTGAAGATTACGCATGCCGCGTTTGGTGAAAGCACTACTACTAAAA